TTGTGAAGAAAGTGAGCATTTCAAGAGTGAGAATGAGTTTTGTGCTTAAACTTGGTAAAGTGAAAACACACATAATTTTCAAATGTATTCTCAAACATGCTCAAAGGGTGAAACAACTGATTTTCAATGTTTATGTAAAAAGGTGATCCAGCCATTTTGATTTTTTGACAGCAAATCCCACAACAGAGGAAAAACAAATGATTTGGAATATTTTGAAAAGCATGGTTTCTTTAAGTCTAGCATTGTGATGCTAATGTTTCAAATGATACAACATGAGCAAGATGGGGCTTAGGCTGCTAGTAACTGTTTTCTGACAGAGATTGATTAAATTCACAAAACCAAAGATGCTTGCTAAATGCCCCCCTTGCCCCTAAACATGAACAACATTACTGACAACAAAAATTGATGACACATGAATTGAACAATTAATGAATAAATATAAACAAGGTAACACAGTCAAGTATAAGCCTCAAGTAACACCAATTAATAACAAACACAAACCAACAACAAATTGAAATGAGCAAAGCAACTCCCCTGATGCACCTATGCACAAACTCAGGTCAGCCTACACAAGTACTCTTAAAAACTGATCAAGCCAGATCAATAATCTTGGTTTTATGACAAGCTTCCATTCTTTGAACCAAACCAACAGGCCTGCTGCACCTAGATCAATAGCTTTACCAAATCAAAATCCTGAGACAACCTTAATCACCACCCTTCTACACCAGTCTGCCACTAATTCAATGATGCCAGTGGCCTGAATACAAACATGGTTGCTAATGGACCAAAACTCAAAGCACTTTTATTAGACAGCTGTTATAATACACACTGATGAGTGTGATGAACTCATGGCAGCTTACACAATCCAAGCAGCATTCCACCCTCTTTTTTGAGCTGACAGCACCAAGACCAAAACAGAAATGTGATTTCATGTCAGCCTTGTGAAACACTCTTCATATATTCTACTGATGTATACCAGTTGACATCAAACATGCTCCTGTATTCAACCTTTACAACATAAATTACCTTTGGATGGGACTTCCATCTGTTCCCTCAAAACTGCTCCTCATTGCCTAGCCTACCAACAGACTCCAATATCCTTTTTTGTAATGATCAATAAAACCATAAACTCATTTCAAGAGGGGAGTCCAATTTGCCCTCAGCAAAATAAGTATGCCCAGTATTGTATGGTTTGGTTTTGGTGTCCAGTAATATCAGCACTTATGCTATCAGCCTGAGATGGATTTGGTTACTCCATACACTCACTTCCAATCTTCCACCCTCAAACCAAAACAGACCTCAAAGAAAAAAATAAATGGCATAGCAAGATACTCACATGTTTCTAGAATCACTTGCAGTCCAACAAAACAAACTTCACATCTCAACTGCTATAGCCAAAACAAACTGATATTCCTCATCCTTATCAAACCAAAAACCAAACTTGCAGCATCATCCAAGGGTTTTTTAAACAGCAGAATTCAAAACAGCCCCATAACCAAACTAGTGACCAATTGTTACAATTCTAGATTGAGGCAAATCAAATATTACATTTATGAACACCAAAAGCAACACACACCCTAGAAAACATTGGCATCAAAAATCCCCCACACTTGTGTGAAAGCAACATGGACATGAACTAAGATTTCCATATTTCAAATTATCTTGAAATTACACTAACCAAACTCAACACATCATAATCAGACATTTAGCAAGAACAAGTTTATGTTAACACTCACCACAAACCTATCATTCATCACATACCAAATATCATAAAAATCAACATGTGTTCATAGTTCAAAATCTACCAATAGGCTCAAAAATGCAAATGCATGAAAAATAATGCTAAAGCTAATAAGAAATAGCTACATACCTCTTGGTTAACTTTTTGAATATGCCAAAATAGTTGAGAAACCCAAAGATCCTCTATTTCACTTTCTTGCTTTTGAGTCTTTCTTCAACTTTAAGTAACAATGCACTTATGGTGCCAAATGAAAAGATAGGAGTCTCTAATGATTGATAGGTGCTTGGACAGTTGAAATATGTTGTTTATGAGGTGTATGAGTGATCAAACCCTCAAGAAAAGGATTGGAGCAAGATTTGGAGATTTTTGTAGCTTTGGTCAAAGTAGGAAAGGTACAAGTTAAACTTTTTGATTTTTGAGGTTTCTTGGTGGTTCAAAGGGTCACACGCCTTCTATATGGTATTTAGAAGTTGTGTGGAGGGTGGTTGAGGTGTTGGAAATGATAGAAATCAGTTTGAGTAATTTTCACCTTATGACCAATTTTGAGGTTTTCATGAACTTTTGTATTTTGAGATTTTGGTTCAAGATGAAGGAATGATGATAACAGAAGTTGTTTGTGGATTTTATCAGATGTAATGTGTTGGAAATGAGGTGAGGGAGCTCTCCTTTTATAGAGAAAGTGATTGAGGTGCTTGCTAGGGATATTTCTTCAATATGAAGTAATCTTTGGATATTTTGAACCAAACCTCCTTTGGAAGGTTTTCCACCTAATTCTGATGCAAACCCAACTTGCCCATGTTCTTTGATGATTTTATGATGTTTGTAGCAGGCTAGGATCATAGGGAAGAGGCTGGTACAGCCTTTTACTTTCCACCTCATGCTTGGAAAGTTCAACTTGCCAACTTGCTCCACTTGCAAGGCAATGAACTTCAAGCTTTGATTTTGCGGTATTCTGCATAATTCTCTATTCTATCATGCTACACACATCTTATATGTTACATACAACAAGTTAGATCAAGAAAATTTGGCAAATTTGGTGAAAGAAATCAACCTTGAAAATTCAGCCAATGTGGGACTTAACATGTGAAACCTCCAACTTTGAATACATGTAACTTTCTGCTCATAACTCCTCTTGAGATGTCCTAGTACAATTTAGAAAGCCCTCACATAGCTCTAAAACATTCATGTTTGCCAAGAAATCAAACTCCAATTGGAACTAGGTGAAAAACCCCCTCAAAGTTGGCTGCACACAAGCTTTTAAAGTGAAAATAACAGAAATTTTCTAAGTTATTTTCCCTTCTAAGAATTTTTTTGCTTCTATCTCAAAAATTATGCATTTTCTGGTTGTGGACTAGTATGGGACTTTTGTAGGACTTGTCAAGAGCTTCCAAATGAGATTTGAACCAACTCAATTGGATGTGTGGTTAAGGAGTTATGGTTTAGCCCTTTTCAAAACCCTAATTTCCCGATTTCTCGATTACTCTCTCATCCTTGATTCAATGATCATGAAAATTGATATGCAAGTCCATTATGACATAAGTAACAACTTTAATTCACAACTTGGATTCCAATTCTCAAAATTTGAGGAGTTGACTTTTCGGTCAACCGTACGATCGATCGGTGCCGACTGAGTCGCCTGTTGACATTCTGGACATCATGAGACTTTGATACTTCTTGAATAGTCTTTAATAGTCTATATGAACTTCATGGACCTTAATCCCACCATTACAACACCTTCCAACATCAAAGTCAAACCACAGTTGACTTTTCACTAGTTAAAAACCCTAATCGGGGCCTCCTGACTGGACTGTTCTTGATTCTGAAATGATTTCTTCAAATTGACTTCTCATTTGACTTTTATACCATCTTTAATTTCATTCCATGATTAAATTTGCCCAAATCATTAGTTGATCATTCCTTGGTTGTTTTGAATTTGTCGGTGCGAAAACCCTGATTCATCTGTAACCTGACAATAATGAACTTGCACTGATTTAGGGTTAGATAATTCATGATCACGCTTATAAAATTATAATGAGAATCTAAGGGGTAAAAATTTGGGGTACAACAGCGTCCTTCTGTCAAGAGAAACTATCCTACGGACTTAGAAATATTTCTTAAGAATTGGAAGATTCGATTCAACAGAAGTGTTACTGAAGGTATTTCGACATGAAGATTTGAATTCAAAAAGAGGAGGGAAAGTTTGTTCTTATCCATTCTTCAAAGAAGACACATGTAGCGCTTCTAGGAATTGAAGGCATGCAGAGTGCCACTTTTCTCAATTTCGTTTGCTAGCCGTTAATAGCAGTTATTTTCGATTAGTATAAATAGCAAGTCTTAGTGTTAGGATTTGTGTGTGTTCAATTATATACAAATTCTTCAGTATACTCTAAGTACCCGTGTGTAGAAAAACTAGTGTGTAAGAATGTACGTTTATGTAACACCATCTTTACATTTCAATGCAATTTAATAAATCTTTTTCATTAAAAATTTATCCTTTTTTATGCAAGTTCTTATCTTCATAATTTATCAGTACTTCGATTTTACTCCTTCGTATCCAATTCCGTTTACACTTGAAATAAGTTATTTTATCATGAACTTTGTCGAAGTGTTCATTGTCTTTTTAAATTTTGTTTAAGATCAATTACCACATGTCCTAGAATTTGTGTGGTCGATCCTACAAGTAAAATAAATCTTTTTCGATTTATAAGACCAGCGGTTGTTCACCAATTTTCACAACAAACAGGTTTAAAACATACATGATAAAGTCAAACATCTAAAAACATATTTCAATCTAAAACAAAGATGTAAGATTTAAAATTTGAAACATGGTGTATTTGACTTTTTTTTTCACAAATTCCCCCCATTTTTCTAATGCACTTTATGGTGTGGCAAAATTTGTACCTATAACAAAATAATTCATGTCCTTTAAATTTGATCTTCCCGTTGACAAACCTAAAGCAAAACAATTCATAATCACTCCATAAAACCTTTCTAATATTTACACTTATCTTGGTATAAACTTATATTCAAGATAATATTTCACGAACCCATAAGGTAACTACCAAAACTCTTGATAAGTTGTATTTTATTTTTTATATGTTTATGGGAAACTTAAAAAATCAGAGAACAACACTTAATCCAATGTTATAGCTCACAACTCTTCTAATGAGCTTTCTTAGACAAAAGTGAAGAAAACTTTTAAGTCTAAAATTGGTACTTATAATATTGGTGAATGATTGTTGAGTGCAGAACAAAGATCATGGCAAAGGATGCTATTACTTTGTTGGATCATTTAGGTTGGAGAAAGGCACATGTTTTTGGCCACTCTATGGGTCAGTATTTTCTATTTTTCATTTAGTCGAAATTCAGATGGTTTATTATAAGATTGGTTTGGCTAAGTTTATTTATTTGTGCTTAATTTTAATTATGTTTGTTGCCTAATGAAACAGGGTCTATGATAGCTTGTAAATTAGCAACAATGGGTCCTGATAGAGTTCTTTCATTGGTGTTGCTCAACATGATATGTTTTTCATTTAGTCCAAAGCATATATTGCCGTTCGCGATTTCTCAGGTTCTATTTCTGCAAATATCGGATCATTTGTTGCTGGTGCACACCAGAATGTGATTATTCCCATGATGACCAAAACAAAACCATGAATGAATGGCGTGGACGGATCATTAGGCAATAATAACAACAAAATTGCAGTTAAGGGAATTGTGCATATTTGCGCCAACATTATTCTTCCAGTGTTTGGTAACCGTTGAGATAAAAAAATCTTCAAGCCATCCTCCAAACAGACCCCCAAATGAAGCAGAAATTATAAATATTGTCCAAATAACTGTTGTTGTACCATGTGAGAAGCCTATTAGTTCTAACCAAAGAGTGAAAAACGACAAACTCGACCCGCGGAATGATCCAAATATTCCCTGAGCTACAATTATCTGAAAAGATGGAACTTGTATAACAGACTTTGCTTCTTTTATTAAATCTTTCACCTCATAAATAAAGGACTTGTTTGGAATTTATTATGATGTGGGTTTTGTGCTCTCGTTTGGGAAGTGTGGATCATTAGCAAAGACACGAGCTAATATACCAACTACGACACTCGCCAATGCAACAATATGAAGATGTTGAGGCTAGTAGTATCGCGAAGAGATTACCAATGATACTTCTAAGGTTTCCGGTTAGTTGAAGCCATCCAAAAGCCGTACCATGGTGTTGCACCCTAAAATTTGACCAACCGGGTCCCATATCTGGTTTATGGATCGACGCATTTCGCATTCGCATTCGCATACCGCATACAGTGCATTTTCTCATTCATATTGATTTTATCGGGGTTACAACCTTATTTTCACATTTCGGACCGATTCGGATAATTGGAGGTTATTTTGAGAAGTCACGCGCTTCCTGGGTGTTTTCAGCTTACGCAGTGATGTTGGAAGTTCTTGGTGTCTGGATTTACTGCTTGCTTCGATCTGGTCTTGCGCTCTCTTTTATGTTGGTTATTTGCCTTTGTTTGCATTCTTAGGATTTAATAGCCTTTTATAAATTTTAATATGGATTTTTTAGAATTTAAATAGATTTCTTTTAACATTTTTAATAGCTTTAAATCATTTTTAGAATTTATAGATTTTTTTAATAGGTTTTAAATAGTTTTTTTTAATAGTTTTTAATAGAATAATAGAATTTCTTTTAAATAAATAGTATAGATTTTATTGTATTAAATAGAATAGTTTTTAATAGATTTTAAATAATAATTTTAGAATTTTAATAAATAGATTTCTTTTTATTTTTTAATAGGGTTTTAGATTAATATAGATATTAATAGAATTTTAGAATAATGATTTTAATTAGAGTTTAGAATTTTAATTGTTTTAATTTTTGATTAGAATATTATTAGGTTTTATTAAGTGTCATTTTCATTTTTTATTAGTCCCACGTTTAATATCATTTTTCATTTTCATTAATCCTTACTAATTTTCATTAATCATGCTTAAGTCCAGGTTATCATTGCATTAGTCATTTAATTAGGTCATTAGTCCATTTTATCAGAATTTTCGTTGGGCTTTTTATCCAGTATTATTCAGCAAGGCCTAAGTCAAGTCAGAGTCCAAATTGCCAGCATACTATATAATAGATGACACGCGTACAAGCCAAAGAGAGCCACCTCATATTCCACTTTCCTCTCCACTCACCCTCTTAGTACACACGTGGCTCGCATGCAGCTTCTCTCTGCCACCTACCCCGACACCTGTCGTCCCCTCACACTTCACCGGTTGCATGGCCGCCGGCCATGCAACTACCGCAACTAACTATCGCCGGCAGCCCTAACTACCTCCAACCACCTCCGACCACCGTCAAACTCGCCGGAAAACTGCATTTTGCCAGAAAACTCATCCAATCTTCATATGTGCTTCTTATAAGATTCACCGGAGAGATCACACACGGCCAAAACACACCGGAATCTTCAAAGATCTATCAACCTTTCGCCAGATTCATCAACAATTTCATCAAATATTCACACAATTTGCCAGATCTGCAAGAACACTCATCTTAATCTTCATACAGATTTTCCAGAATCTCCTTCAGATCTTCAAAGTTCATCGTTCATAACCGTAATTTTCCAGAAACATCATCAAAGACTATCATCGAGATTCATCATTCATCATCTTCAACGGTTTTCTCCAAGAACTTACGCCCAGAGAGTTCACCGTGGTCATCAACAACCTTCATGCATGTTCATCAAACATCAAGAATCGTCGTCAAATCTCCATCCAAATCAGTGCAAGAAGACGGTAACCGTTTCCAGAAATTCCTCCAAACGTCTTCATCAATCTTGATCGTTCTTCATAGAGTTTTTCCAGATCTCCATCATTTTCCTCGAAATCTTCATCAACATGCATGTTCATCGCCTTCCTTAAAAAATCCACCAGCAACCTTCATAAGTTCATCACGCGTTCATCTTGCATCCTCCATAACTTCAAGATCGTCCTCAAACTTCAAAGTCGTTCATTCTCCTAGCTTTTTGTCGAATTTCTGTTGTTATTTGCTGTTGATTCAAATGGAATTTGAAGACGATAAAAAAGAGTTTGTAAGGGAGAGATAAGATTGAGAGATTGAGATGTCTGTGATAGTTTGATTGAGAGGTGAAACGAGAGAGTTTGTGAGGTGAGGGAGATCGATGAACGGTGAACAGAGGGTTGTACGAGAGAGAAATTTGGTGAGAGAGAATCCAAGGGAGAATGAGAAACGACGCTAGTTTTTGTTTGTGAACAGTGAACTGAAATTGGAAAGGCATTTAGGGTTTTGTTCTGGGAGGATACGTGGCTGGGGATTGGGTTCAGAAGCCCAACGAATTTTTTTCACATGCACACCCCTGTTTCACTCTTACACCCCTTCCCCCGTTTTTGTTACTTGCTGTTGGGTTGGGCCTAACATTCCCTGTATTTTTTTGCTAGGAACACCCCTGGCTGGACCTGCACCCCCCTTTTTGTTTTTCTTTTTTATTATTTTCTTTTATGTTGGTTTGCTTAGACTTTTTAAGAAAAAGAATATATGATGTGAAAATAGAAAATAGAAAATATAAAAGAATAGTGAAATAAAAAGTATAAAAATATAAAGAAATATTATAATAGCTTATAGATTGTATACTTTTTAGGATGTCATTTTACACCTTTTTAGAGGTAGAATTAAAAGTCCACTTGTTAGGGGACTATTTTTCATTAGATTTTCCATGATAGATGGGTATGTTTTTTTTTAGGAGTTTATCATTGTAATTTTCCGAATATTAATAAAATGAGATTTGTGTTTTGGTCCCCGTTCTACCCGTAGTTAGCTGAACTACAGTTGCTCTGATTTCTCGTGCTGAGCGAGAATATGTAGGCATAGGATGCGATATCCTAGCGAGCACACTAACAACTAACCTATATGTTCTCTCGCTACTGTGCGATCGAGACTTTCCCGCTGACGACTGATTGTTATCCTTTTCTCTTGCCCTTGCGCATTCGAGACCAGACCGTAGTTTCTAGTTCCCGTAGGTTCCCGTACCTCTCAAAACAACTTACCTCTCACTCCTGTGTGATCGAGAACACCCTGTCTAGCCGTAGTTAGCCTGAAATACGAAAGCTCTGATCTTCCATGCTGTGTGGAAGTACGTAGGCACAAGACGCGAAGTCTTGGTGAGCCAATTCCCTGTAGTTTCCCGAACTACAATGACTCTGACTTTCTCTCTTGAGAATACGTAGGCATAAAGCGCGATGCTCTATCGAGTCAATTTCTTGCCGTTTAGATTTAGCAGCCGTAGATAGATTGTTTTGCATCCTTTAGACAAACCAAACAAGCGTGGATCCCGTCGAGTACGACGGACGTGAGGGGTGCTAATACCTTCCCCTTGCGTAACCGACTCCCGAATCCAGGATTTGGTTGCGATGACCATTCCTTTCCCGTCTTTGCGGTAGGTTTACTCTGAGCGTTTCCTTTCCTTCCGTTGGGATAAATAACGCACAGTGGCGACTCTTCTGTTCAGCCGGCGCCGATTTTTGCAGTAGCGACAACTGGCGACTCTGCTGGGGACTCCAACGGTTCCCAGCTGCTGAGAACTGCGATGGTTCCTTATGCATGTGGGATCCAACGTCCCCTAAGAGAGTCAATCCTAGCGCTTGTTTGCTTGTCTATTGGGTGTTTATTATTTCTATATTGCTATTATCTGTTGCTGTTGTGCTGTTGGGTGGGGGATGTTCCTTTGAGCGAGAAGCCAGACCCAGGCTTGAGTGCACCTTAGAATTAGAGTGGAAATTAGTGGGGGCGTACATGCTTTGCATGCACTAGTGTCCTGCGAAATCCACACTCGGACGAGGTTCTTCTGGTTGACTTCCGGTTCAACCCTTTGGGTTGAGTGGGGTGTTGGTTAGTTGTATTGTCGACTCCGGGGACCGATCATTTGGAAGTCAGCTAAGTGAGGCCTCTTCAGGATATGATGATGCCACACCTTCTGGGTATCGTATCATCAGTCTTGAAAGTCTGTGACACTGATGACCGCATAGGATGCCGAACCTTGTCAGATTAGGTCCATACCCGTGAGTGGGAGGGTTTTGCAGGAAACTTGATCTCCATCCTACCCGTTATTTTGGTCTTCTCTTCAGAGCGAACGTACTCCGTCAGCAGCGCAGCAGTATTCAGAGATTGTGTGGGGGCTGTGATCCCGTGTTTGCTGCATATTGTATTGTATTTGCATAAACGTGTTGCATCATATTGTATGTCATACTCCAGCTAGCCAGGGCTCTTACCCAGCCGTTGTTTTGATTATGAAGGTGATTACTCGGTGATTGGCTTGAGCAACTGGTGATTGTTAGAAGACGACCAAGGGGTTGGGTAGATTTGAGCAGAATCAAGCATTGAAGTCAGTTGAAGGTTATCAGTAGCTATGTCTGAAGGCAATTTCCAGTCTCCTAACACCTTAGCAGGGTTCACTATGACGACCAACCCTCTGTATGGTTCTACTTCCGAAGCAGAATTTCCGCAGGTGAACAACCTTACTGCAGACCAGCGTGTGCAGCCTCATGTTATGGACCGAGAGCGACATGAGCAGTGTTGTCCGCAATGAACACCCTCCTCTTATCAACAGT